CTTATCTATAACCTGTAGCGAACAGAATGTACAGTTTATACTTGGCATGTAGGTTTTCACTCATGGGTGGCACAAATTGGGATATGGGGATGGGAATGTGAATGGGTGAGGTATATGCAAATTAAATACTGTAGTATTACTATAGTTAAACTGTGGTGTTTTTGCGGAAATTACGGTAGTATTTACTACAGAGTTCTTTGCGGATAATACTATAGTATTCTACAGTATACTACGAGATTCTATAGTAACTACTACACATGACCAAGGTATACAGTGGGGGGAAAAAAGTATTTAGTCAGCCACCAATTGTGCAAGTTCTCCCACTTAAAAAGATGAGAGGCCTGTAATTTTCATCATAGGTACACGTCAACTATGACAGACAAAATGAGAAAATAAAATCCAGAAAATGACATTGTAGGATTATTAATGAATTTATTTGCAAATTATGGTGGAAAATAACTATTTGGTCAATAACAAAAGTTTCTCAATACTTTGTTATATACCCTTTGTTGGCAATGACACAGGTCAAACGTTTTCTGTAAGTCTTCACAAGGTTTTCACACACTGTTGCTGGTATTTTGGCCCATTCCTCCATGCAGATCTCCTCTAGAGCAGTGATGTTTTGGGGCTGTCGCTGGGCAACACGGACTTTCAACTCCCTCCAAAGATTTTCTATGGGGTTGAGATCTGGAGACTGGCTAGGCCACTCCAGGACCTTGAAATGCTTCTTACGAAGCCACTCCTTCGTTGCCCGGGCGGTGTGTTTGGGATCATTGTCATGCTGAAAGACCCAGCCACGTTTCATCTTCAATGCCCTTGCTGATGAAAGGAGGTTTTCACTCAAAATCTCACGATACATGGCCCCATTCATTCTTTCCTTTACACGGATCAGTCGTCCTGGTCCCTTTGCAGAAAAACAGCCCCAAAGCATGATGTTTCCACCCCCATGCTTCACAGTAGGTATGGTGTTCTTTGGATGCAACTCAGCATTCTTTGTCCTCCAAACACGACGAGTTGAGTTTTTACCAAAAAGTTCTATTTTGGTTTCATCTGACCATATGACATTCTCCCAATCCTCTTCTGGATCATCCAAATGCACTCTAGCAAACTTCAGACGGGCCTGGACATGTACTGGCTTAAGCAGGGGGACACGTCTGGCACTGCAGGATTTGAGTCCCTGGCGGCGTAGTGTGTTACTGATGGTAGGCTTTGTTACTTTGGTCCCAGCTCTCTGCAGGTCATTCACTAGGTCCCCCCGTGTGGTTCTGGGATTTTTGCTCACCGTTCTTGTGATCATTTTGATCCCACGGGGTGAGATCTTGCATGGAGCCCCAAATCGAGGGAGATTATCAGTGGTCTTGTATGTCTTCCATTTCCTAATAATTGCTCCCACAGTTGATTTCTTCAAACCAAGCTGCTTACCTATTGCAGATTCAGTCTTCCCAGCCTGGTGCAGGTCTACAATTTTGTTTCTGGTGTCCTTTGACAGCTCTTTGGTCTTGGCCATAGTGGAGTTTGGAGTGTGACTGTTTGAGGTTGTGGACAGGTGTCTTTTATACTGATAACAAGTGCCATTAACAGGTGCCATTAATACAGGTAACGAGTGGAGGACAGAGGAGCCTCTTAAAGAAGAAGTTACAGGTCTGTGAGAGCCAGAAATCTTGCTTGTTTGTAGGTGACCAAATACTTATTTTCCACCATAATTTGCAAATAAATTCATTAAAAATCCTACAATGTGATTTTCTGGAGAAAAACAAATCTCAATTTGTCTGTCATAGTTGACGTGTACCTATGATGAAAATTACAGGCCTCTCTCATCTTTTTAAGTGGGAGAACTTGCACAATTGGTGGCTGACTAAATACTTTTTTTCCCCCACTGTACTACAGTGTGTAGTATAGTATTCTACAGTAGGTATTAATATTTTCCAGACAAGTTTCAATACCGGGAATAATTCATATTTATCCCCGGGAAAGTCCCGGGAAATAGCGCAAAAATTGGAAGTGTCCATATAAAAGAGATTCAAACCAAGATATGGTCACTATGCCAGGGTTCTCCCCAAATAAGAGTGTAAAGATTTCAGAGCAAATTACACTGATATTTAGTAATGATAGAGTAACTGTCTGATCACCAATGACATTGTTGTGAGTTGCGAAACAGGCCGTTCATAAATGTTGAGCCTTATGTACCTCAATTAATTCAGCAAACTTCAGCAGTAGGCCATCTAGACACAGAGCGCGCTCAGGACGCACAGAGCACACCCCGAGTATAGCGTTGTTGAATCATACAAACTTTGTAACAAAAGTCAAACAAAAGTCAAATGATTAAAGTTGCTAAGCTTGCTAGATAACCTTCAACGAATGACAGAATATTTCCTATATTTGGCAAAAATCAAGTTGATGATTATACGGATAGCAGATCAGCTCATGAATAACAGGTAGATGAAGAGTGGAAATAGTTTAAATATCAAAGTATCTTAACGAGAAACAACTCTGTTTTCAAAGTATCCATACAGTGCCTTGCGAAGTATTCACCCCCCTTGGCATTTTTCCTATTTTGTTGCCTTACAACCTGGAATTAAAATGGATTTTTTGGGGGTTTGTATCATTTGATTTACACAACATGCCTACCACTTTGAAGATGTAAAATATTGTTTTATTGTGAAACAAACAAGAAATAAGATTTTTTTTTAAACAGAAAACTTGAGCGTGCATAACTATTCACCCCCCCCCAAAGTCAATACTTTTTAGAACCACCTTTTGCAGCAATTACAGCTGCAAGTCTCTTGGGGTATGTCTCTATAAGCTTGGCACATCTAGCCACTGGGATTTTTGCCCATTCTTCAAGGCAAAACTGCTCCAGCTCCTTCAAGATGGATGGGTTCCGCTGGTGTACAGCAATCTAAGTCATACCACAGATTCTCAATTGGATTGAGGTCTGGGCTTTGACTAGGCCATTCCAAGACATTTAAATGTTTCCCCTTAAACCACTCGAGTGTTGCTTTAGCAGTATGCTTAGGATCATTGTCCTGCTGGAAGGTGAACCTCCGTCCCAGTCTCAAATCTCTGGAAGACAAACAGGTTTCCCTCAAGAATTTCCCTGTATTTAGCGCCATCCATCATTCCTTCAATTCTGACCAGTTCACCAGTCCCTGCCGATGAAAAACATCCCCACAGCATGATGCTGCCACCACCATGCTTCACTGTGGGGATGGTGTTCTCGGGGTGATGAGAGGTGTTGGGTTTGTGCCAGACATAGCATTTTCCTTGATGGCCAAAAATCTAAATTTTAGTCTAATTTGACCAGAGTACCTTCTTCCATATGTTTGGGGAGTCTCCCACATGCCTTTTGGCGAACACCAAACATGTTTGCTTATTTATTTCTTTAAGCAATGGCTTTTTTCTGGCCACTCTTCCGTAAAGCCCAGCTCTGGTGTACGGCTTAAAGTGGTCCTATGGACAGATACTCCAATCTCCGCTGTGGAGCTTTGCAGCTCCTTCAGGGTAATCTTTGGTCTCTTGTTGCCTCTCTGATTAATGCCCTCCTTGCCTGGTCCGTGACTTTTGGTGGGCGGCCCTCTCTTGGCAGGTTTGTTGTGGTGCCATATTCTTTCAATTTTTTAATAATGGATTTAACGGTGCTCCGTGGAATGTTCAACGTTTTGGATATTTATTTATAACCCAACCCTGATCTGTACTTCTCCACAACTTTGTCCCTGACCTGTTTGGAGAGCTCATTGGTCTTCATGGTGCCGCTTGCTTGGTGGTGCCCCTTGCTTAGTGGTGTTGCTGACTATGGGGCCTTTCAAAACATGTGTATATATACACTGAGATCATGTGACAGATCATGTGACACTTAGATTGCACACAAGTGGACTTTAACTAATTATGTGACTTCTGAAGGTAATTGGTTGCACTAGATCTTATTTAGGGGCTTCATAGCAAAGGGGGTGAATACATATGCATGCACCACTTCTCCGTTATTTTTTTGTTGTTGAATATTTTGAAACAAGTTATTTTTCATTTCACTTCACCAATTTGGACTATTTTGTGTATGTCCATTACATGAAATCCAAATAAAAATCCATTTAAATTACAGGTTGTAATGCAACAAAATAGGAAAAACTCCAAGGGGGATGAATACTTTTGCAAGGCACTGTATCTACTCTCATATTGTTTGTTGAGCACACATTCTCTACCAAAGCTCTCATATGGGCAGCAAGTCCGAGAAGCAGGGGAAATGTTATAGCGGTATTTTGACATGCACAGGCGAGAGACGTGCTTTGATAATGCAACCTACGGATTACAGAATAAAGTTCATGCAAAACAGGAGTCAGGATTTAGGACAGGAGAATATAATTTTCCCTCATGCCTACCCACAGACTTCATGTCTGTGACAGAGATGACTTTGTAATAAATTGTGCATAGGCCTATCAAATTTGTGACTGTCTGAGTCACAATGACAGCTCAAAGAGGCACACATTATTTTATAGGCTATACTGTAGGGGTTTCCTGTAGGGTTCATTAACTGCATTCAGGTCGCGTGTGCAGTCCAGCAGTGGCAATTATGCGTGTGCTTTGAATTTATGGCGACTTTGTGTGAAGTAAATATGCTAAAGGCTACCATGCGACAACCTATTTGGATAATGTGCTATTAAATATGTTGCTAATCTGATGCTGCACATGTTGTGTATTTTGTGGAATTGCATTAGTGCCGACAATTTTTGTACATTTCCAGGTCGTCATTTAATTTTTTTGGGAAATGTGTGTTCCTGGGACAGTCAAGGGATCCCGGTTACCCATGTTAATCCCTATTCTACAGTTTACTAAAGTTTACTACAGAATTCTATAGTAAACGGTAATATTTTTTCATGTGGGTCAACGCAGAGCGATTGAGGTCTGTTAAATGGCTAATATTAGTCAGTGTTATCTATTCCATGTACCTGTAACAAGGGGCACATAGGAACAGTGTAGGTGGAAAAACAATTTGAGTGACAGCCAGGGAAGGCCAGGGTGGGTCATCGTGGTACCTTGTTAGAAGGTGGAGACGGGGTCATTTGGATGTCACTCTGGCAGCTCCAGTGGTACCTCAGAGGTTGGACCTGTTCCCCGTTACGAGCATCCACTCGCTCTGTGGCCGGGGTCCTGGGAGACAGCACACGCATACATTAACATAAAGTTCATACCACAATTTCAATAATGGAGGTGCTGGGCAATGTCATAAGAGTTAAGAATATGACGTTTCTCTATAACATTGGTCCAGCCCTCAAATAATGGGTGTATGATTACAATACACAGGTTAATATACATTTTATTACAGCCTAGGGGAATAATCAGTTCTGGTTCTGAAGAGTCAGAGGTCATTGTAGTGGTTCAGTATAAGTAAAAATGAGGTTGACAGAAGTAATGCTCAAAATAAGCTTATAGAACTGAAACTCTCCAGAATAGTAAGCATTACTACACGGGAAACCGGCTCTAAAGGAGTCCTATATAAAACATTCAAGAAATGGGGAACTAAACTGGGGTGAGTTTCCCTTTAATTCGTCGTTATATCCTTCTTAAAGTGCATCGTTAGTATCTGAGCTGTTTCCTCAAAACATACAGTACCAGTCAAAAGTTTGGACACACGTACTCATTCAAGTGTGCAAAGCTGTCATCAAGGCAAAGGGTGGCTACTTTGAAGAATCTCAAATATAAAATATATTTTGATTTGTTTAAGACTTTTTTGGTTACTACAGTCGTGGTCAAAAGTTTTGAGAATGACACAAGTATTGGTCTTCACAAAGTTCGCTGCTTCAGTGTTATGAGATATTTTTGTCAGATGTTACTATGGTATACTGAAGTATAATTACAAGCATTCCATAAGTGTCAAAGGCTTTTATTGACAATTACATTACGTTTATGCAAAGAGTCAATATTTGCAGTGTTGACCCTTCTTTTTCAAGACCTCTGCAATGCGCCCTGGCATGCTGTCAATTAACTTCTGGGCCACATCCTGACTGATGGCAGCTCATTCTGGCATAATCAATGCTTGTCAGAATTTGTGGGGTTTTGTTTGTCCACCCGCCTCTTGAGGATCGACCACAAGTTCTCAGTGGGATTAAGGTCTGGGGAGTTTCCTGGGCCGTGGACCCAAAATGTCGATGTTTTGTTCCCCGAGCCACTTAGTTATCACTTTTGCCTTATGGCAAGGTGCTCCATCATGCTGGAAAAGGCATTGGTCGTCACCAAACTGTTCTTGGATGGTTGGGAGAAGTTGCTCTCGAAGGATGTGTTGGTACCATTCTTTATTCATGGCTGTGTTCTTAGGCAAAATTGTGAGTGAGCCCACTCCCTTGGCTGAGAAGCAACCCCACACATGAAAGGTCTCAGGATGCTTTACTGTTGGCATGACACAGGACTGATGGTAGCGCTCTTCACTGGACAAGGTGTTTTCCGGATGCCCCAAACAATCGGAAAGGGGATTCATCAGAGAAAATGACTTTACCCCAGTCTTCAGCAGTCCAATCCCTGTAACTTTTGTAGAATATCAGTCTGTCCCTGATGTTTTTCCTGGAGAGAAGTGGCTTCTTTGCTGCCCTTCTTGACACCAGGCCTTCCTCCAAAAGTCTTCACCTCACTGTGCGTGCAGATGCACTCACACCTGCCTGCTGCCATTCCTGAGCAAGCTCTGCACTGGTGGTGCCCCGATCCCGCAGCTGAGTCAACTTTAGGAGTCGGTCCTGGCGCTTGCTGGACTTTCTTGGGCGCCCTGACGCCTTCTTCACAACAATTGAACCTCTCTCCTTGAAGTTCTTGATGATCCGATAAATGGTTGATTTAGGTGCAATCTTTCTAGCAGCAATATCCTTGCCTGTGAAGCCCTTTTTCGTGCAAAGCAATGATGACAGCACGTGTTTCCTTGCAGGTACCCATTGTTAACAGAGGAAGAACAATGATTTCAAGCACCACCCTCCTTTTAAAGCTTCCAGTCTGTTGTTCTAACTCAATCAGCATGACAGAGTGATCTCCAGCCTTGTCCTCGTCAACACTCTCACCTGTGTTAACGAAAGAATCACTGACATGATGGGCAGCTGGTCCTTTTGTGGCAGGGCTGAAATGCAGTGGAAATGTTTTTGGGGGATTAAGTTCATTTTCATGGCAAAGAGGGACTTTGCAATTAATTGCAATTCATCTGATCACTCTTCATGACATTCTGGACTATATGCAAATTGCCATCATCAAAAGTGAGGCAGCAGACTTTGTGAAAATTAGTATTTGTGTCATTCTCAAAACTTTTGACCACGACTGTACATGATTCCATATGTGTTATTTCATAGTTTTGATGTCTTCACTAATATTCTACAATGTAGAGAATAGTAAAAATTAAGAAAAACCCTTGAATGAGTAGGTGTGTCCAAACCTGATCAATCAAATATAGTCACTCTCTCTTTAGATTATAGTGAGTAATTTTAATATGGACCAAAGTTCACAGATATTTTTGCAAACTGCAAACTAGAGAGCCTCTTGGATGTTATATGGAACACTAAGTATTAACGTTGCACTTCAGTAACGATTTGTCGTAAAGACACAGCCCAGAACTGAGCAGCTGGAAACTAATTCCATGGCTTTATTGTACCCTTAACATTTAGTACCTTTTATCCTGTTCTGCGGCAAACACCAAGCCCCAATTCTCACTATGGGCCACACTGACCCCATTGAATCATGGGTAGGGAAAAACACAGTTAACTCTAACCTCCATTGAGTGATAAAGTGCAAGATAAACCTTGTGCATGTCCAATTCCAACTTGCACATACTGGCTATAGCCCCTTTCATTCCATTATAGCTATTTTAAAAAAACACTATGGCCAAAATTCTGTCCATACAGATACCGGTTTTCTGCACTACGCAAACATAATACATACTATATAAATATTGCAACTAATATGTGAACACATAGTTGGTGTCCCCTGGGTCAGGGCTCTCACCGGCTCTGTTGCCGTCCGGTGCCCTTGTGGAAGGGGCTGGCAGTGCCCAGGCAGGGCAGGTTGCGGTGACAGCGGGGGAAACGCAGGGCGAGGAAGAGGAGAACCACCGGCAGGACAAAGAGGAAGATGACCAGCAAGGCCACACGTGCCGGGTCAGAACCTGGAGATACAGAAAACATTGTGGTCATGGTTATCATGGCAGACATAGAATTAACAGCTGGGTGCATGTTACTTATTTCATCCTAGTTTTATCGATACGGTGTCCCAATTTCTCAAGGATTTGATTAAGATGAGGAGTGTATATCTATGAGTGCAGTCAAATTGTGTGTTAACAGTGGAAGGGTGAGGGAGGGTGAGGTACCTCTAGGTGCTCTAGCAGGGCCGCTGTCCACACTACCTCCATGGCCTGTGTACCTACAGTCTGGAGGAGCCCAACCCACGTCACAGTGGCAGTTCTTATTGCTGTTGCACACCTGGCAATGTCAGAGAGAGGATATTGAGCCATATTATTCATTTAACATCAACAACAGTATGAGCCAGTCCATTGTGAGCAATACAATGTAACTCCTATAAGGGTAGACTGGCAGCTGGCTTGCTCACCCCGTGGCCGTTGCATTTGCTCTGACATTCGTCGACGCCGAACAAAGACACATCCTGACAACGCTGGTTCCAACATGCCTGAAACACAACCACAACATGGTCAGTAATACCAATCATCATTTTAGATATTTATGTAAGCTCAGATAACAGAGAAAATATCTCCTATATCCCTATTCCAAAGGGTCAAATTACCCGTTCCACAAAAACAAAAGTATTCTGCATTGTACTTCTATAGCTGAGGAGATGCCTACCTTGCCAAGACCACACGCGGTGCCCTGTGCCACCATGGCAGGGTCGGAGACGTCGTCGCCAAGGTGGAAGTAGGTTCCCCGGCAGACAAAGTCGCTGTAGTTAAATTTGACTTTGGTGGTCAGGATCTCAGCACTGGTGCCTAGCAACGGACGGTCGTTGCCTCCCTGGCACTGGAGCCTCCCACAATGCACATCTCTGAAAAGTCAGACACAGTCAGACATATGGAATTGTTCATTAGGCACGAAATGGAAGAAAAAGGACTGAAACAGGGCGGGACTACATGAACTTGTCCAATAAAATATGCTTATTTTGTTATCTGTTGCAAAACGTTTTGCTACGATGTGCCCTAATGAACGTGGTACCTACTTGCTAGGGCACGGGATGTAGGTTCCGTTGGCCATCTGGCCACAGTTGCCGTATTTGTTGCCCTGTTTGTTGACGGAGGAAAAGCAGACCGGCGGAGCCCTGGTGGAATCTGAAAAGAAAAAAGGGAGTTTAAACAACCATAAATGTCTCAAAGATTCTACAGTAAAAGTAACACCGCCTCCTGAGTTTATGAGCCATTCTCAATTCTCCAACTCTGCAACATATGGCATATGAAGATTTGATATGATATAATAACTCGCCAAAACAGTTTCTTCAATCAAACACTAGTGGTCCTCTGTAGCTCAGCTGGTAGAGCACGGCGCTTGTAACGCCAAGGTAGTGGGTTCGATCCCCGGGACCACCCATACAAAAAAAAAATGTATGCACGCATGACTGTAAGTCACTTTGGATAAAAGCGTCTGCTAAATGGCATATTATTTATTATTATTATTATATTATTTATATATAGGAATCCTTTGTCTAGGGAAGTATTCTCTGTTGCTTTTTCAAAAAGTTCCAGTTCCGCTGACCAGACAGTCCAGAACTCTGGGGTTCGGATCTCTTGAGGTTCTACAGTACTTGATCAATGAAACAAGTCAAAATAACTAGCCACTAGCTCCCAACAGTGGTATCAATCCCAATTGTTATTGGGTCCAGACAATATGACAAACAGTGTAACTCACTAGGTCCCCACAACATCTGGCACTGTGTGTTGAGGCTGGCGCAGACGCCGCTGTAGCAGTAGGAGGAGCCTTCCTCGCAGGGCTCGCCGTTCTGCAGGAACACGTTGGGGGGGCAGTAGGGAGAGGTACCAGTGCAGTGTTCTGGGAGGTCACACTCCCCCAGGGGCTGTCGACACACCCATCCACCTGTACGCAGCTGGTCAAAGAGAGAAAATAGACAGTAGATTAGTGAAGGGGTTTATGCTTTGGACCTTTGTTTAGCTTCTTGTGATAGATCATGTAATAGTTTAGTTTATTAGGATCACCATTAGCTATTGCACATGCAGCAGCTACTCTTCCTGGGGTCCACATAAAACGTAAAAATGCATGACAAAATATAGAACAGTAATAGACAAGAACAACATAAGATATTACATTAAATTAAAATTTAAATCAGAGTTATAACATATAATTAGCTATAATAAATATGAGACTAACGAACTGAGCTGATTTAAATGTAGGTGTTCAGTAGAGTGTTCAGTGATGGGGTTGATTGAGTGAGTGTGTGTGTGTGTCAGTAAGGGTCCAGTGAAGGAGACAGAGGAAGAGGCTTGCCCACCTTGCAGTTGTCACAACAGGTGCCATCGGAGGAACACTGGGCCCCAGGAACCAGTTTACAGGTGGTGGCGTTGCAGCAGGGATCGTTACACTCCTGGACATGCAGAGCGACAGAGACACTTGTATACATAATTCATTGTGATACAATTAATCCTAAACCCTAAAATTAGGAGTTCAACCTTTTCTTTCCCAGGGACCCCCTCCCAGGCAAACTGGCGACCCAGGGACCCCCATCATACGTTAGTATGATGAGGGTCCCCTGCCCTAAATCATAAAGCCTTAGTCTGTTCATTGAATTATCATCTATGGTGGCAGGTTGGCATTCATTGGGATGACTCTTGTCCTGGAGGCAGCTCTGCAGGGTGGTCAGTAGCTGGCAGAGTCACATACATAAAATCAGATTTTAAACCTAACCCAAACCTTGCTAACCTTATGCCTAACCATATATTAAGACCAAAAAGCACTTAATTTTTTTCATAAATGTTGTATGATATAGCCAATTTTGACTTAACGGCTGGCCCATCTAGAGGAACCCGCTCAGTGCTGCCTCCAGGACAAGATTCATACCAATAAACTTCAACCTGCATCTATGGTGAGCCATGCTGTGCTCCCTAAGAGGATCCAATTTACTGTCCTACGTACATCCAGCAGGCCGCAGTCACACTCCTCTCCCTTCTCCACGTAGAGGTTTCCACAGCGTGGCCCCCCCAGCAGTTTCTCAGGCTGGGGCACGTTGAAGAGGCACATCCCCCCACCATGTAGCAGGCTGAGGGACAGGTCTCTGGCACTGCAGCTGCTGAACAGCTGGCCTGGCATGAACCTGGGACAGAGGGGCAAAGAGAACAAGACATTTAGTGGACGCTCTTATTCAGAGCTTTTTACAAGTGCATTCAAATGAAGTGCCTAAAAACTAACATAATACAAGGCAGGTGAGGATCACAGCTGTACAGAACTGATCCTTTCTGTATTGTATCAATGACTTTGCATGGCCTGGCCCACCATAGCCCCCTAGCCCCTCACCCAGTAGATGGCTCCATGATGCAGCCTCCCATGCGTGGTTCGTTCTGACACTGGCAGCGGCGGTCGGCTGTGTCGTGACTCATGCCCAGATTGTGCCCGAGCTCATGGGCAATGGTGGACGCCACCCCCAGCACACTGACCAGGTGATCCTGCCCACAGAGAGGGAGAGAGGGAGAGGGAGAGAGACACACACACACACACAGAGTCAATTACCACAGACTCATACTGTCATTGTGAGGCAGTTACCCCTGTACTCCACTGATAAACCTAACTGAAGCTAACTAACTCACCACATTGACCCCTCCTGACCGGTCCTTGGAGCACATGGAAGACTGAGATGCCATTCCCACTGTCGTTCCGTCAAATGAGTCCCCCCTGGAAGAGATCACAAACACATTCAGTTATAGTTAGTCTATTTTCACAAAGAGGCCATCCACTATGGAAGCAGATTCATGCCAAAACAAACTATTGGTATATACATGTATTTGGGATGAATCTGCTTCCATAACGTACAGGTGTGAGAAAGGCACCGATTAACTTCAACCAAGTCCATTTGACTACTCACATGACCAGCTGAGCATTGTCGTGGCGCAGGCGGGGCAGCAGCTCTCTGGTGCGCCACTCCAGGAAGCGGTTGAGGGTGTCTGTGGGACTCTTGTCAACCTGGATCTTATCCTGGTCACTCCAGATCTCCAGCCCAGTCAGAGCCACGCGCACACTCAGCGGCCGGTAGAACTAGAGAGGGGTAGATGAGGACCACCATGACAAACCAATGAAAATCTAATACAAATATACAGCCAGTTTATTAGGTAAACCCATCTAGTACCGGGTCGGATCCCCCTTTGCCTCCAGAACAGCATGAATTATTTGGGGCATGGAAACGTTGCTCAATTGGTATCAATGGACCTAATGTGTGCTAGGAAAACGTTCCCCACACCATTACACCACCAGCCTGTCCCGTTGACACTAGGCAGGATGGGGCCATGGACTCATGCTGCCTACGCCAAATCCTGACTCTGCCATCAGTATGACGCAACAGGAACCGGGATTCCTTGGACCAGGCAATGTTTTTACACTCCTCAATTGTCCAGTGTTGGTGAATGCGTGCCCACTGGAGCCACTTCTTCTTGTTTTTAGCTGATAGGAGTAGAACCCGGTGTGGTCGAACAGTAACTGAATGCCTCAATGCCAGTCTGTCTGCTTTATATAGCAAGCCACAGCCACGTGACTCACTGTCTGTAGGAGCGAACCATTTTTGTGAACGGGGTGCTGTACCTCAAAACTGGGTGTATATGGTAAATACTTAAAGACACCCTCCAGCGATTTGTTTGACTTTTACTGTTGAAAAGCGATATCCCAAGTATAAATACAGTAAAGTACACACACTAAAGGGTGAAAACATTTTTTAGCTAAATGATGTTTTTTAGACACCTGCAAACTTCAAGGAGTAGGGCATTCAAGGAGTTGGTCTGTTGGGAATCCGTGATATCGTCGGCCTCCCGCTTGCTTGAGGAACAATAGAGGAGCAATAGACAAAAGGAGGGGAAAGCCCCCCCCACTTGTGTCATGTCATGACTTACCTGGACCACTTATTGAGATGTGGCTTTTGTTAAGTAAATCAGGTGTTAAATGAGGTGAAAAGGAGACTGGAGTGCCACTTTAATGTTAGGTTACATACCCAATCTACTTGGTTGGCCACATCCAGCATTCGATAGATGATAGTCTTGTTGATTTTCTGGTAGTTAAGGTACTGTAAAAATAACAGTTATTGGTTAGGACAACAGAGACCGAACATGATGGGATTGGTCTAAATGTACTGGGGTCTCTTCAAAGTGCAGCTATGTCAGTGCCTTGCTTACACTATGGGTCATTGTCGTACATTAGCCTTATCGTACATTACCTCTTTGTGATCAGCTACAAGCACAAGCTCTATGTACTTGGTCTCTGAGAGAATGTCCCTCTTACTCTGCAAAAAAAAGCAAAGTGAAAACAAAATACATTAGGGCCAATGTACAGTATGTTGTCGACAGTTCAGGGAAGTCAGTATGGTATTTCCAGCAGTGGCAAAAACCATCAGTAGTTCCAATCCCAGGATAAACAAACATTTGATTGTGCTTCAAGCCCCTCTCACCCTGTGTGGGACTTGTGGTGGGACGTGGATGGGGGGTACAGGCGTATGGGACACCCCACAGCCCCCAACACTAGCCCTCTCCAGAGGTCTGGTGGAGTAGAGCAGGTGCATCCCCTCCTCCTCCTCCCCTCCACTCTCCTCTGCCCCCTCCTCGTCCTTGTGGTCTTCGTCGGGCTGCAACTCAAAGCTCAGGGTGGAGTTGATGGCCACCACGCCCCTGAGGGAGAGGGGAATAAACAGGGACTCACTCAACAGGGAGTCAACAGGGACACAAAATGGCATCCAAGTTCCAAGTAAATACAGTTACTTCAGGTGAGGACATTGTGCAAGGCTCTGCTAGCAATCAGATTACCTTCGCTACATAAACATGACCCTAAACCGAGTATATGGCCACACGGTCTGCCCACGCGAGTAAAGAGCTCTTGAATCCAACTCTAAATAAAGGTCAAGAGGATTTTCACCAAGTTTATTTGGATATCCCTAAAGTATCCAAGCCAGCCGAAGGACCCCAGATTAAAACACTGGTCCTTTCTCAAATCGGGGGATTAGTATGCTTTAGGAGGTCAAAGATCTTTCTGATTAATCTGGATTGGATTAAAGCCACCTCACGGTCGATCACTCCGCCCTACTCACATAACCATGACGCTCACGTAACCATGACGTTGCCCGTACTGCAGGAAAAGGTGAAGTGCCCTTTGTAAAGACTTCCCATTTATAATAATAGGTTTCCCATATAGTGCACCACAAAGGGTTTACCTGAGGGGGGCGATTAAGTGGGATAAGGCTGACCCCTGTTTAGATCAGTTTACTGTTTTAAATGCATTAACCGTTACATAACAGAGAATGAAATGCATATGCGTAAGGTCATAGTCAAGTTGATATTATTACCTGAGTCCAGAGCAGGTACTGAGAGCCACCCTGGACTGTGGGAAGCCCCTCACTGAGCCGTGGTAGTAGCAGTGAGTCTAGGAGACAACATAATACATCATATAATGACATTATTATCCAAGCTCATATGAACTAACTTGCCGATTTCATAACTATCCCTAGAATAATCCTACCTATAACAACCAGAACATTTGACAACACATTTGTGGTATAGTAACTAAAATGCAGTGATGTTAAATGTAGATCCAATACTTACCACTGTGCTCTCCTCTAAAGAAACCCCGGTGCCATTAGGGAGGTAGTAGAAGACATTGGGGGGCTTGGGCAGGAGATCACTGCAGGGAGAGGACAGGATTACTGTAGATTCATTCAGACTATGTTTTATTGCTGATGATAAACCCCTTTCTGAAACTATGAAGTCTTAACTAAACGATGGCAAAGGTTGGGGCATTCCTGCATCACAACTCCCCATTCAGATAGCTAAAGCCTAAGATTAAAATATATGATATTTCAAAATGTATTCTATTTTGTTAGGTGAGCTTACTGGTTTTTCTCCAGGTCCAAAATATAGATGCTGCCTCCAAATTGAAGACCACACTGTAGCTTGTCTGGGTGACCGTTCTGGGAATGGGAAAGAAACATACACATGATAATGAATGTGTACTGTGATTTTTATCCTCATAAGTCAGTGGATAATTTAACTGTATTACTAAAACCTGGTTGGACACTGTTGTGCTAAAAGGGAGCAATGACCCTGTGTGGCCAAATTAACCATAATTATGTTCATGCTTTTTCTTGACTCATTGTCCAACTAACAATTTTCCAGCAATTACTTTGTTAGCTGTTGTTGTTATTGTAATTGCTCAATGTTGCAACATGGTGTATTCATGATTAGCGCGTGATGAGTGCCTTAATGAGCGAATGCAGCCAAGAGCAGCTTGAAGTGGCAAACGGGGCAAAGGGACAATCTTCTTAGTGAAACAGCAGTAATATACAGGACCACCATGTGGTCTTTCTTATTAACCTGGGGAAGGTTAAAGGATTGAGGCTGTTATGTACACAATGACCTCTCTCCTTTAGAGGCTGATGGACAACATTTCAGATGTAGTAGACGGCCATGGAGCTCTCATCCTTTCTCCTCACTAAAGTTCCATTATTACGCAACGCTCAAATTGGTTAACACTATATACTATTAATCCCTTCAGCCAATCAATACTCATCCCATCAAACCACTCAGCAGACATGAAATAAGATTAGAGTTATAAAGCCTCCCCTTAGCAATACCTGTCAACGTATACACCTGCATGCTCTCTAAAATAAACCCAAAGTCTCTAAATGCGGGCAGCACCCAGTCCTTGATTGGCACTGACACCTAAGCACAATACTAGAGCCCAAATGAGCTGAATCAGTGTACAGACTGTCAGCCAGGATTACCCCTCATAGGCACCAAGGACCAGGCTATAAATGGACTTCCTTTGCCTGCTGCACATTTCTCTCACCAAATGCCAAGGCGGCGGTGGGTAAATTGCGTCCTCTCCCTCTTTTCATGTCAGTTTCCCCTACGCTTCCATCTCAACACCCTCTCTCTTCCTGCCATTCTGTCGCTTTCTAGCCCGTTTAGCGGCTCCACCTTTGAAGACAGCGAGTAAGTGAAACCCTTCCTGTTGGAGCTTCCCTCCTTCCCCACCGCAGAGTGCTACTTCCTCGCTTTCTCCTCTCCAGCTAACTGACAGGAATTGGCAGAGGATCAGGCTTGGAAATGGGACTAAGACTAGGAGCACAGGCAGTAAGGTAATAGGGTGGTGACAGTATGCCAGAGAGGTCTGTTCAGTTCCAAGTAGCAGTTAGTGACTATGAGGAACCCGAGAGACTACCTCTTCTGTTGACCGGTAAAATCATGCTGGATAATGTCACTGCCGGGTACCCAAGTCCAACAACAACTGACACCCAATTCACTCTGAAGTTTTCTACTGTCCACAGTCCCAGAAATACTTTAACAACATCATGGTTCATTTGACACACACAACTGTGTCCCTGTACCATAGGCTCTAAGAGGCTATTAGTAATAACATAACTATTCACACTGGAATCCAGCATTCTCCATTCATTGGATATGTAAACAATTTAACTGGTTCCATATCCAAGAATATCATAATCCAAGAAGAATCCCAGAAGTAGAAGCTGATAATTGAGGGGGATTTCCAATACATTTGAATGAAAAACTCGGTCTATTTCTAGTTTCTATAGTCTTTATTATAATCAGAGGGCTTTGGTGAGGTAATTCACCAAAGTATGTAAGGAGAGTGTGACTGAGTTACATTGGGTGGGTCTGTGTTTTTGTACTGAGAGTCCAATGGGTGACCAACAAAGACTCCAGGCACATTGGATGGAGATCTGGCGCCACACGACAAGGCAAAAAAACAAGCAATCTACAGTCATGTCAGTTATGTGACCAAAGAGAAGAAAAAAGGGAGAGAAAGAGATGCACACATTCTCTCAAACATCTGCAGCTTTTGGCCAGCTGCCTTGGATTGTGGTTTTGGGGTGAGAGGTCAGAGTAGAAACAGAGCTCCTTCCAGAGCTACATCTGTTCAGGGCTCTAGTACAGGATCACACCCAAATATCTGGAGCTCAGCCAAGAAACACCCACCCTCTCCAAGCTTTGTTTGTCATTCTTCTTTGAGCTTCATTACAATTTCTCTTCCATTTCTCTCCTCATCTCTACCTTATCTCTTCTCTCCCCCCTCTTCCTCTTTCTGAACCCTTAACTCACACTCGCAACTGGTCTCTCGTTTCACGCTCACTGGCTTCTTACACCTCTCTCTGTCACTCTTTATCCTATCGACAACCATGTCCACTCCATCTCTGCTGCCATTACCTCTCCTTCCCCCACTCTCTACCTTCCTCCTCTTATTTGCCCCCTCTCCTTCAGTGAGGTAATGTCCCAGGCCGTGATCTCCTGCCAGTAACAAGATGAGCTCAACGCCTTATGAATGCTGGGTGGGGTCCAGAGCTGCTTGTGACCCACAGCAGAAGAAAGAAACCAGGGAGGAGGAGAGGGGAAAAGGGGCGGAGGGGGTGTAATGGAGGAAGGGAGAGAGGGAGGGACAGGGCGAGTCGTGATTCCTCTCCAGCTCTTTCAGCTCAACGGAAGTACGAGGGAGGGAAATACAATCAGTCAGCTCCTGGGATGTCGGTCTGTCTTCCTCAGTCCCTGTAGTGCTTCTCTGTTATTTAGTCTGACCCAGAGCAGCCCTGGATCAAGTCTGGACATGTCAGTGGAGTGTGCCTGTCCACTATCTGGGGGAAAGCTCTGGGTTAGTTCATGACTTAGTGTATCCCTTTGCATTACAATAACAGCCAAGTTAATTAATGTACAATGGGCAACACGAGGTAGAGGAGCGTCGCATTCAACTCCAGTCCCAAAGGGAATGTGGTGTTTACTGGCTCTTCTCCTCTTCCCTAGCACTTGACTGATTAATATCACTGGAACTCATGTCTGCCTCTGACTGTTTCTTTACTGCTGCGCATGGATATCCAGAACTTACCTCACCCATTTAACTAGTAGCCTGCCTACTGGCATTACCTTCACTTGGGCTCAGAGAAGTACTCAGTGATTTCAATTACTTTTGGGGTATAATTAATGATCTGGTTATATAAACAGGACCCCTGGTTGGGGATTAACTTAAGACCATTCTTAATCCGGCTCAATCCACCACACACCCTAGTGAAACACTTTCCCTACAGACACCTTCTTAAGTTGATAAGAGGCGCCCCCCTCATGTAAAGAATCAGTCTTACCATGCTTTGGGTGTAAGACAATAATGCCCCCCCATCACACACGGCCATCTTAATGGTAGGGTAAGGGGTTGGGATGGCAGAAATGCTTACTGTCAACACAGAGCGATCAGGCCCTGAATTAGCTGAGATCCCCTCCGTAAACTGTATTAAGGTGAAGCTCCCTGCTGCACGCCTTACACATCAGAGCTCCCTGTGTGTGTCCCAGTCACAAATCCATTCAAAGCCAAGTTGGTTTGGGACTGAATTTAGACTCCTCATCAGAGACACAGTGTGGAGGCTAATAATAGCAGGCACCAGAGAGGTGAGCACTGAGCAGCAGAACACAACTCAGAAATAAAGGGTTACCTGTAAACTGATAAAGTATTTCCCACGTCTTTATTTTCTTCTTAATGTGGCAACTGTCTAAAAGTGTGTTTGACAAAGTAGATCTATTCATGGTTCAATGTTGACAGAAGCTATTCAGGCCAACTCAAGTGCCTCTCCCAAGAGGACACAAGTCGCCTGGTCCACCATAAGAAATGAAACTGTGGTCACTGGCATGTTTTCTTCTTTAATATCTAACACACATATAATCAATCTGAGATCCTAATTGGGCTGGGAGTTACATGCATTTCATCAAAAGAAAATCGTAGTTATTTTGAACTAACTAGTGATATGCAAAGAATATACCCTCAGATCTTTTTGCCTCGAGAGAACATTTATGATTGTCTTATCTATAGCTAATCATGCTTTGCTAGACAAATAAAGATCTACACTTAACGTGATGAAGTTGCATTCTCTGGACTGGGAAATGGAACGTTACAAGAATTACATTGTTCAGGGGATGGGAGGATGTTGATGAGGGTGGACGGACTAAGTTTGTATCACAGATGCAGCCATACACAGTCACACCCCTCCCATATGGCACCATCCCCACATTTCTGACAAACAAGCTCCCGATTGCCATGGTTACACATTGCGTGTATTTTGAGTGAGTACGTGAATCACTGGTGTTATGTTCGTCAGTATGAGCAGTAGGCTGTGGGTGCAGTAACCTCAGGACAAGTGAAAAATGGCTACTCATTCATCAATGACTGGAGTGATTCAGAGGATAAACCACACAATAATGTAGGAATTAGGAGTGACTCTCTGCTGAGTCGTAGCCAATGAGGCCCACTCAACTGTGTTATTTGTATGACAGTGCAGTGCCCTGGTTGGCTTTGCAACCAGCAAACAAACATCTTGGTGCCTGATGGAGACTGTTTTGCCAATGGGATTCAACCTTTTGAAAGTTAACATTCTGATCCAGTAGCTGGCTTAAAAAGTGAATGTGCCAAAATGTAGCCCTGTCATGCTCTTATTCTCTACTTTCCTCTCTCTCTGTCCGTGTGTCTGTGTGGAAAAGGGGGGGGGTCTGCTGTCTGGCTTCCTTTTTTGTGGTAATATAACAGAGGAAGGAAGTAGGCGCCTTGACATATTTTACAGGAAGCTTCCTGAATAAAAACTATGATCTGAAGAAGGTGGGGGGGGGGGCACTTTAAGGGGACGGACACTTCCTGTGCAGCTGACAGGAGGTCTGAAATCATATCCTGAAGAATTCCCCCATAACACTGACTCCACCCAGAGAGGAGAACATCGTAACATGGACGACCTTCGAATGGAAAAAATGTGAGCCGCACATCGGAATTGGAATAACCAGGTGTGGGTTTGATGTTAGTTTGAGACATAAAACTACAGTTTAAAATTTGAGTTCCTATGGGACCTGTAAAAATAGAATGGCTATTAACCTCTGACACTATCTAAAAAAATAAAGCCCACTTTATAAAAGCGCTCTGGGATCACTGAATGAAGAATGCTAACATGTAAGCATGGAAATAGAAAGCACATAATGGAAGTAGGATCAGTGCAATATAATGTTTGTGTATGGCTCTGTGTAAAACGATAGTCTCTCACACACATTCTCTTGATGTATGTAGTCTCACCTGCAAGGCCTCACTCAGACTTCTCTTGTGTCCGTTTACTACCACAAAGGGCCTGGTCCTCTCCAGTGGCTTGCCGTGGTGGTGCTCTGAACCTAGGGACAGAGAGAGATGGGATTCATAGGAAAATCTTATCAGTTTGATACTCTAACATCAGGGGATGGAGAAACTATTTTGTTAGTGCTAGTAGTGACCCTAAAAGTTACATTCTAGTAGTCCGTGAACCCCCTTCCCCATTGGGCAATGCTAATGTTAAGATAAAGTCAGCCATATCCCAGACGGATATCCCTTAGTAGTAAGGAAAAACTAACTTGGTATACAGGCTTAGGTTAGGAAATGCAGGAAACCTACAGTTTTCATTAAATGGTTTCAATATGCCAGGAAAAAAGATCAGCATCACAATCTAAACTAAGCATGGACAATTCAAGCTAATTGCACAAACCAATCAGTGATGACGGATGTGCTTATAACAGCTCATGCTCTTTCTCAGCCGGCATATCTTCTGACTCCTTTCTTCACACACACACATAAAACAGACACAGCTGCATTAACATCAGTACAAGAGGCTCTGTGTCCCCTGTCCATTCCTAGTACAGCTGTTGTCCAGAGCCTGTAGTAGGTTAATTGTAGATGACTGGCTGGCTGGCAGGTGTCTCCAGGACTAAAAAGCAGCAGACCACCTCCCAGTGCCCATTTTACAATAGCCTACCTACTGAACAAAAATATAAAATGCAACATGTAAAGTGTTGGTCCCATGTTTCATGAGCGGGAAATAAAAGATTCCCGAAATGTTCCATACGCACAAAAAGCTTATTTCTCTCAAATTGTGTGCACAAATGTGTTTACATCCCTGTTAGTGAGCGTTTCTCCTTTGCCAAGATATCAAGAAGCTGATTAAACAGCATGATCATTACACAGGTACACCTTGTGCTGGGGACAATAAAAGGCCACTCTAAAATGTGCAGTTGTGTCACACAACACAATGCCACAGATGTCACAAGTTGAAGGCAATTGGCATGCTGACCTCAGGAATGCCACCAGAGAATTGAATGCTCATTTCTCTACCATAAGCCACCAACATCGTTCTAGAGAATTTGCCCCAACCGGGACTCGAACGTGTCCAGCGACTGTCAAGCCAACAACTTAACAGTTAAGCGAAAAGGTCCGAACCTCTTCACGAGGTAGATAGTTGTTGGGCTTGACAGTCACTGGGCCAGGGTTCGAGTCCTGGTCGGGCCTACACCCGAATTCATTAGAAACGTCTTGTACGTTTTTAGAAAGTAAAGGTATCAGATAAACAATTGTAATTGGCATGCATGCTAGGCTCCAGTATTGAGAGAGGAGGTTTAACCCTACTGTAGGATAGGCCTACAATTTAGGGTCATTTTGGGTGAATTTGAGAGTGCCCAGGCAAGGACTGAAATTACATTTTATGACAGTTCCATTGAAGTTGCCTAGGCTAAACTAGGGCTACTACAAATACCTACTTGTAAGTGAGGAGTGAGACGATTCTGTTGTTGCGTTCAAAGGAGACAGCTTATCTTGTGTCTTCTCCATCTCGGTCTTATTTGAGTTCAAATGACTTTCCGCCAGCAGATATTCCTGCGAGTCGGCATCGTCCAGTAATCCTAAACCGCTACTAGGTAACGTATTTGATTGAGTACCGCGAAATGTTACAGTCTCGAGTAGCACCAACATTACCAAAACTCGAGATGGAAACATTGTCGCGCAGTGACATTGGCTCGTGTCCATCAATTAATCCACGTAAAAGGTGTAAAACAAAGCATTCAGAAACGGAGAAAGGCAACAGGTTCTGTCGGAGGCAACTATATGGCTACTTCAATTTGCCTACAGATGCAAATTTCAAGCGAAAGTCCATGATAGGCATCCACTAAGGCACGCGTAGGAGCAGAAGTGTTGCATGGGCCAGTCAATCGAACTTGTAACTTTATTTCAATAGGCTTCATTCACCTGCGCCATTAGCCCACACCATAAAGTCCTGTAACAAGCCTCTAAACAAGACCGGCCCGCTGTCCGTAGCTTCTGGCTGCAGTTATCTCAGGGTCATATTTCCAGTACCTTTACACACAGTGCTACTACAACATATGTCCCTTCCGTAGCAGAGATAGGTCCACTGTGATGTCGTTAAACTACCCAAGTGCGATCTAGAAAATCTTAATTCCTGAAAGGCAGACAGCTTCGAACATGCAAGTCATTTGGGCACAAGACTGAGTGCGTGTTTACAGCGATGGTGTAATCGCATTTCAACCCCGGTACAAAGCGGGATTTTCTCTTGGGCTTTAACTCTTTACTGCCTGAATCGTTCTGTGGTCACATTCTAGAGAGCCGCGTATCCTAACAAACCTTACACAACATTTCTATATAGTAAGTTGTACAAATAATACAAAATCCATTTATAAATCATGCATTTTAAGCTAATTAAGTGTGACTAAACTATTATGCAATTGTATACTTTACACATAGGCTATTTAATCTGATAATATCATGTCATCCTATTGTCTGAACATCCCAAAGGATTTGCTGGATCTCCAGTTGTGTAAATTGTCAGCATTGCTAAATAACAACTGCAATCTGCTAAAACCTCTGGAGAACAGATGTTATTGTTATATATGTCTAGTCGATTTAACAATGAATTAGTCACAGGAAGAAAAAAAAAACTTCAGACAGGGATTCAAGGAAAGAAACCATTTCCTTCAGAACAATACTTGAAAGAAATGAGCCATGATAAAATTGAACAGTGGGTGCTGATCAGCTGTTCATTCGGCAAGTTTGCTTTATTGCTATTGAAAAAAATTGAGGACCAAAACCTGTAATGGGCTAATATGCTAAATGCCTTTAATGTATCTGCATGTGATTTAGGTGGTCGCTCTAATGGACATAGTACATGTCTGTGTCTGAACAGCTCTCCTCTGGTTCCCAGTTACTAGTGGGGACACAGGTGTAACAGGTCCTGCCCAGGTCCCTCCAGCACTGGGGACAGTAAGCCGCCTGGGACTGTGCACTCCACGGCCCGGTCACCCCTCTGCCTCTCCCCACACACACACAGCACCACCGCAGCCTGCAGCCCAGCCTCTCCAGTCTGGACAACACACCAGACAACACCTGAGCGGGAGAGAGTGGAGGTGAAGGGTAGAAAAGTGGGAGGAATAGAGAGGTAGTACAGTAGGTAGAAGGGGCAGTGTTAAATAACAGTACAATTCAGTGAAAGGAACATATTTGCCCTAATTAGATTATTGGGGGCCACAGGCCATGGATTGAAAAGCATTAGTGAAGACAGAACAGAAGAAAATACGAAAGCGTGCAAGACCGGATGGAGAGGGAAGGGCCCAGAAAGGAGAGTGGGAGGCGGCTGCGTCCCAAAGAGTTTGTCTGTGTTTGTTTAGATTTGTCTTGGAGATCATTCCCGGAAAAGAGTGAGCCCATTTGACTTCAAAATTAAAGGCACTGTCATGAGTTCTCAGAGTTCATCCAAGAGCCATCCCATCAACTAAATTAGGAAATAGAAGGGTTCAAAGGCCTTTAGGAAAATAAAGATATTTAAACTCTTTAATGAGAGAGTAGTTAAATACACAGAGTACGCACCGTTTTCTCTCCTATTCCTAGCTGCATGAGTCGTGTGCGTTGCCTTTTGGTGTATGAGATGCGCCTCTGAATTTGCAGGTTATAAAGGAACAGAGCACGCCTCTTCTCCCGCTAACAGACAGGCAGCCACAGCAAAGGGTGGACACACGGAGAGAAATGGGGCAGTCAGATAAATGACAATGGGCAAAGGGTTAATATAGTGTGTAGAACAGTATGGCCACAGACCAGCAAGACATAGAAAAGTCGAGACAAGACATGAAAAGATAAAAAACAGACTATTTTCTCTGTTGAGTGAGATATTTGAATCACCCTGACCATGGGTACTAGACGTCACCACTGCTGTATGAATACTCAATACTGTCCATCATGAGGATGATTCTGGAGCGCTGAACTCCCGAGGCCAGTTGGATTAGAGTCTGTGCGCTGCACACTTTCACCATGTTGCACTTCTCTCCCACATGCTGAATGTGCAGCAGCTTAATTTTGCGTGATTTGTGAAACTAATCCCCTTCAGAGAGCATAAGGGGAGGACTAATAACAGTAATGACACTTCAGCTGATTTAGTGCTAAGTGAAACACACAGATGGCAATCCTTCACTATCTACTACACCAGTCTCTCCCCTCGCTGTAGTTTCTCTATAGGTCTTTCACACTGGCATTTTCAACCCTTAGTCAACCCAGGCAGCAGGGCTATTCAATTACGATCCTGGAATAGCGAAACACCTCTGGTTTTTGTTCCTACTTCATCTATCATTGCACTCACCTCATCTGGTGTCCCAGGTCTAAACCAGTCCCTGATTAGAGAAGAATGAAAACCAGAAGTGTATCGGACCTCATGGGCCAGATTTCACACATGCATTTTTCAACCCGGGCCAGAATTTGAAATGCTCAAAATACCTTTGAAACGCTATCCCTGTGGTGGAAATGCCAGCATGAAAAATGTCTGTATCCCACTTTCCCCTCTGTTAATCTCTTGCCTTTAATTCTTAGTTTCTCTGCATATACCCAGGTATACTGGATGGATATAGATCTAATTCAGTCAGTAGAGGATGCCTGGTTGTTCTTTAAAAGTAATTTCCTCTCAATCTTAAATAAACATGCCCCATTCAAAAAAGACAGAACTAAGAACAGATATAGCCCCTGGTTCTCCTCAGACTTGACTGCCCTTGACCAGCACAAAAACATCCTGTGGCGTACTGCATTAGCATCAAATAGCCCCCGCGATATGCAACTTTTCAGGGAAGTTAGGAACCAATATACACAAGCAGTCAGGAAAGCAAAGGCTAACTTTTTCAAACAGAAATTTGCATCCTGTAGCACTAACTCCAAAAAGTTTTGGGACACTAAAGTCCATGGAGAATAAGAGCACTTCCTCCCAGCTGCCCACTGCACTGAGGCTAGGAAACACTATCACCACCGATAAATCTACAATAATCGAGAATTTCAACAAGCATTTTGCTACGGCTGGCCATGCTTTCCACCTGGCTACCACTACCCCGGCCACCAACTCTGCACCCTCCGCTGCAACTTGCCCATGCGCCCCCCCCCACCCCCCCGCTTCTCCTTCACACAAATTCAGACAGCTGATGTTCTAAAAGAGCTGCAAAATCTGGACCCCTACAAATCAGCTGGGCTAGACAATCTGGACCCTTTCTTTCTAAAACTAGCCGCCGAAATTGTCGCAACCCCTATTACTAGCCTGTTCAACCTCTCTTTCGTAAATCCCCAGAGATTGGAAAGCTGCCGCGGTCATCCCCCTCTTCAAAGGGGGTGACACTCTAGATCCAAACTGTTACAGACCTATATCCATCCTGCCCTGCCTTTCGAAAGTATTTGAAAGCCAAGTTAACAAACAGATCACCGACCATTTCGAATCCCACCGTACCTTCTCCGCTATGCAATCCGGTTTCCGAGCTGGTCATGGGTGCACTTCAGCCACGCTCAAGGTCCTAAACGATATTATAACCGCGATCGATAAGACAGTACTGTGCAGCAGTCTTCATCGACCTGACCAAGGCTTTCGACTCTGTCAACCACCGCATTCTTATTGGCAGACTAAATAGCCTTGGTTTCTCTAATGACTGCCTCGCCTGGTTCACCAACTACTTCTCAGATAGAGTTCAATGTGTCAAATCGGAGGGCCTGTTGTCTGGACCTATGGCAGTCTCTATGGGGTTGCCACAGGGTTCAATTCTTGGGCCGACTCTTTTCTCCGTGTATATCAATGATGTCACTCTTGCTGCTGGTGACTCTCAGATCCACCTCTACGCATACACCATTTTGTATACATCTGGCCCTTCATTGGACACTGTGTTAACAAACCTCCAAACGAGCTTCAATGCCATACAACACTCCTTCAGTAGCCTCCAATTGCTCTTAAACACTAGTAAAACTAAATGCATGCTCTTCAATCGAACACTGCTGGCACCCGCCCACCCGACTAGAATCACTACTCTCGACGGGTCTGACCTAGAGTATGTGGACAACTACAAATACCTAGGTGTCTGGTTAGACTGTAAACTCTCCTTCCAGACTCACATTAAGAATCTCCAATCCAAAGTTAAATCTAGAATCGGTTTCCTATTTCGCAACAAAGCCTCCTTCACTCATGCTGCCAAACATTCCCTCGTAAAACTGACTATCCTACCGATCCTTGACTTCGGCGATGTCATTTACAAAATAGCCTCCAACACTCTACTCAGCAAATTGGATGTAGTCTATCACAGTGCCATCCGTTTTGTCTCCAAAGTCCCATACACTACCCACCACTGTGACCTGTACGCTCTTGTTGGCTGGTCCTCACTACATGTTCGTCGTCAAACCCACTGGCTCCAGGCCATCTATAAATCACTGCTAGGCAAATCCCCGCCTTATCTTAGCTCAATGGTCACCATAGCAGCACCCACCCGTAGTCTGCGCTCCAGCAGGTATATCTCACTGGTCATCCCCAAAGCCAACACCTCCTTTGGCCGCCATTCCTTCCAGTTCTCTGCTGCCAATGACTGGAACGAATTGCAAAAATCTCTGAAGCTGGAGACTCTTATCTCCCTCACTAACTTTAAGCATCAGTTGTCAGAGCACCTGTACACAGCCCATCTGAAATTAGCCCACCCAACTACCTCATCCCTATATTGTTATTTATTTTGCTCTTTTGCACCCCAGTATCTCTATTTGCACATAATCTCTTGCACATCTAGCATTCCAGTGTTAATACTAATTGTAATTATTTTGCACTATGGCCTATTCATTGCCTTACCTCCATAACTTGCTACATTTGCACACACTGTATATATATTTTCTGTTTTATTTTTTTTTTACTTTATGTTTTTTTTACCCCATATGTAACTCTGTGTTATTGTTGTTTTTACCGCACTACTTTGCTTTATCTTGGCCAGGTCGCAGTTGTAAATGAGAACTTGTTCTCAACTGGCTTACCTGGTTAAATAAAGGTGAAATAAATAAATAAATAAAATAAACATTATACCATCATTTCTCGCCCCTTTGCCCCTATCTGTGCAGTACTGTAGGTAGGGCTTCAGTATGACCAGAATACGTAGTGTCTAATGCTATTACAGTAAGCTGCTCTCAGCTAAACACTGCTTTACTCGACACACGAGCCAGTGCATTTCTTACAGGATTGTACACATTGTGCTAAAGCCTATTGAATACATTGAAATATACCTCAACCAGCAATGGTGCACAAGTTTGCATGTATTACGTCTGGATTAGGCAAGGTTTCTTCCTTTAGTCACGTTCCTATATGCATATGTACATGTTTATGGAGAACGTGCATCTTATTAGCCTAGAGATTCCTGGACTTGATTTTGGTGTTCATTTCATTAAACCCCCCACTGCTTCATTTGGAACAATTAAGGGAAATTAGAAGAAAAACAAGAATGCACACAACTGACCTTAATGAGGTAGCTCCGCTTAGCTGTTGAATTTCACACAAATAGAGCATGATGTAAATGAAGGCAAAGCTTTCTCCTGAACAATGATTTGTTTTATTCCCATTTATACTCAGTCGACCCAGTAGCTGCTCCAATTTCCTAGGAGATATCCGTTTCCCACCTATAAGAACTCTGGGGAAATCCACTCTTTGTGATATCCAGATCGACTGTAAATACTAACAGTATAAGGAGTGCTTCTACTTTGTAGGGACATTGTATTCTTTGTTTATTTGGATGTAGGTCGACCAACAGGACCCTACAGTTTGTACAAACCTTCCTGTGCCAAATTCACCAGGGATGAAAAAAGGAGAGGAATAATAAATGTTAGTCTGCCTATTTAAAAACGTTACATAGGCTGGACCCAATGCCAACATGAATATGTGCATGCTGTGTAGAGGCTCCCAGAGTTTTAATGTAGCTACTACTGATGTTCTGCTCACGGTGGGTGTCTTCACCAGGCTTGATACATTGTATACATTATATTATGACCTTTATTACTATATTGAACAAAAATATAAAAAACGCAACATGTCAAGTGTTGGTCCCATGTTTCATGAGCTGAAATAAAAGATCCCCGAAATGTTCCATACACACAAATAGCTGATTTCTCTCAAATTGAGCACAAATATGTTTACATTTACATTTTAGACATTTAGCAGACGCTCTTATCCAGAGCGACTTACAGTTAGTGAATACATATTTTTTTATACTGGCCCCCCGTGGGAATCAAACCCACAACCCTGGCGTTGCAAACGCCATGCTCTATCAACTGAGCTACATCCCTGCCGGCCATTCCCTCCCCTACCCTGGACGACGCTGGGCCAATTGTGCGCCGCCCATGAGTCTCCCGGTCGCGGCCGGCTGCGACAGAGCCTGGATTCGAACCAGGATCTCTAGTGGCACAGTTAGCACTGCGATGCAGTGCATTAGACCACTGTGCCACTCAGGAGACTAATTCCTGTTAGTGAGCATTTCTCATTTGCCAAGATAATCCATCCACCTGAAAGGTGTGGCATATATAACTGTAAGTCGCTCTGGATAAGAGTGTCTGCTAAATGACTAAAATGTAAATATCAAGAAGCTGATTAAACAGCATGATCATTAAGGTGCACCTTGTGTTGGGGACAATAAAAGGCCACTAAAATGTGAAGTTGTGCCACAACACAATGCCACAGATGTCTCAAGATGAAGGAGCGTACAATTGAAATGCTGACTGCAGGAATGTCCACCAGAGCTGTTGCATGTTCATTTCTCCAATGTCGTTTTAGAGAATTTGGCAGTACGTCCAACCAGCCTCACAACTGCAGACCACATGTCACCACGCCAGCCCATGACTTCCACATCCAGCTTCTTCACCTGCAGGATCGTCTGAGGGGGTGCTGACGAGTATTTCTGTCTGTAATAAAAGCCATTTTGTGGAGAAAAACTCATTCTGATTGGCTCGGCCTGGCTATGCCCTCCCAGGCCCACCCATGTCTGTACCCTTGCCCAGTCATGTGAAATCCATAGATTAGGGCCTACTTTATTTATATTGACTGATTTCCTTATATGAACTGTAACTCAGTAAAATCTTTGAAATTGTTCCATGTCGCGTTTATATTATATATATATATATATACATACATACATACATACACACACACACCTTTCTTTTTACCTATTGACAGTTGAAACTTCAGAGAAACCATCCAATTTATCAGCAACTTGAGACAAACATACACTGTAGTGTAGGCTCTTATCAAGATAACGTTCAATTATCAGATTTAAGAGCTGAGATTACCTTTAGAAGATTTAAGAGCTAAGATTACCTTTAGAAGATTTAAGAGCTGAGATTACCTTCAGAGGATTTCAGCTCTACATGTATGACTGGGACAAGGTGTTAATGTGAGAACTATAATTAACACAAATACTACGGATTACATACATGTAGGCATGCCGAATGTGCCGTGAATACGTTATACATTGTGTCATACATCCGATTTACAGTATGCAGAGGTTTCATTCAACCAAGAGGATGGTAGGTGTGGTTGAGAGGGTGTATGTGTGGCCTCACCTTGGGGAAGTAGAAGGCAGCGATGACCCTGCGCAGGCGGTTGCTATACACCTGCAGGCAGCACATCAGAGCCATCATCATAAGGGGCACAAAACTCCACAGGTAGTCCTCTGTGGTGAGGGCCCTCGGCTGGGGCAGACAGTCAGAGAGAATAAAAAGAGAGGGGGATTGTTGTTGATCTTGTAACTGTCGCCATGATTTGACTAATCTGTGGTCCCACTTAATCCTGAACATTATTAGCACATACTATGAGAATGCCCATTTTATAGTGCATGGATAACTCCTAGTTGTCATCCTGCACATGGAGCAGACATGTGACGCTACAGTATGTGTGTTCAATGCCTCCTTACAACACTGTCTAAACTATCTAGCCAAGACAAGGCTGTACACTACTAGACCTGAGCATATTAGTGTTGTAGCCAGACAGATACAGGTAACATTAGCTAGCCACAACACACACGTCTGGCACATCAGTCTTTGGCACATTGAGCAGTGAGACACAACAGCAGAGAGGCCACATACGCTGGTTACTAGACTGCATATCCAGGTTGGAGGAGGTGTTGAAGGCACCAATGGTCTTCCTCAGCAGCTTGGCCATCATGGACTGTCCTCCCACCTTGATGTCTATGTGGTGGCTACCTGTGGAACATAGTGGCATGAGTTAACACAACCACACCGTGACAATGATATGGTACAGGAGAAAGAGTGTGTGACTCACTGGTGAGGGAGAACTCTGTGAAAGTGTGTCTGCGGATGATGTCAAAGATGCGGTAGAGCACCATATCGACAGCCAGTAGCACACAGACAAACACAGCCAGAGAGACTACCTGCAGCAGGCCCGCCATCTGTGGCCCAATGACACAGATCTGGGATTAGACTTGGAAAGATTGTTCTTCAGTCTACACAACCCTAAGGACAGATAGTAATGAACACGTCATTGGAGCAAAGAATTGGATTGAAATCCACTCAGGAGAGAGGAGCAACGCACCACTTGTTTAAGCTCACTGGGATGCATGTACAGGCTCCGAGGGTTGATGAAAAGGCCCCGCTCAGCTTTCTTCAAAGGTAACAGATAACGTTTGTCCTGAAATGTCAAACGTACATATCAGCTTCCAAACATTATACACTTACCTACGTATTTATTTGGACAGTGAAGCTAAGACGTTTAATTTGGCTCTATACTCCAGCATTTTGGATTTGAGATCAAATGTTTTATATATGAGGCGACAGTACAGAATGTCACCTTTTATTTGAGGGTGTTTTCATACATATCTATTTTAGAAATGAAAGCACGTTATGTATCTAGTCCCCCATTTGAAGGTATAAGTGATTGGACAAATTCACATAGTGTATTACATTTAGTCAAAAGTTTAGTATTTAGTCCCATATTCCATGTGATAACTACATCAAGCTTGTGACTGCAAACTTGTTGGATGCATTTGAAGTTTGTTTTGGTTGTGTTTCAGATTATGTTGTGCCCAATAGAAATGAATGGTAAATAATGTATTGTGTCACTTTTATTGTAAATAAGAATAGAATATGTTTCTGAACACTTCTTCATTATGCTACCATGATTACGGATAATCCTGAATGAATCGTGAATAATGAGTGAGAAAGTTAAAGATATAAATATCATACCCCACCAAAAAATGCTAGCCTCCCCATTATTAGCAATGGTAAGAGGTTTGCATGTTTTGGGGGCATGATCTTTGTGCGTCTTATTCACTAGTCATTATTCACAATTTATTCATGATTACCCGTAATCATGGTAGCATCCACATTAATATAGAATTGTTTAGAAACATATTATCAGGGATTTTGGCCCACTCCTCCATACAGACCTTCTCCAGATCCTTCAGGTTTCGGGGCTGTTGCTGGGCAATACAGACTTTCAGCTCCCTCCAAAGATTTTCTATTGGGTTCAGGTCTGGAGACTGGCTAGGCTACTCCAGGACCTTGAGATGCTTCTTACGGAGCCACTCCTTAGTTGCCCTGGCTGTGTGTTTTGGGTCGTTGTCATGCTGAAAGACCCAGCCACGACCCATCTTCAATGCTCTTACTGAGGGAAGGAGGTTGTTGGCCAAGATCTCACGATACATGGCCCCATCCATCCTCCCCTCAATACGGTGCAGTCGTCCTGTCCCCTTTGCAGAAAAGCATGCCCAAAGAATGATGTTTCCACCTCCATGCTTCACGGTTGGGATGGTGTTCTTGGGGTTGTACTCATCCTTCTTCTTCCTCCAAACACGGCAAGTGGAGTTTAGACCAAAAAGCTCTATTTTTGTCTCATCAGACCACATTACCTTCTCCCATTCCTCCTCTGGATCATCCAGATGGTCATTGGCAAACTTCAGACAGGCCTGGACATGCGCTGCCTTGAGCAGGGGGACCTTGCGTGCGCTGCAGGATTTTAATCCATGACAGCGTAGTGTGTTACTAATGGTTTTCTTTGAGACTGTGGTCCCAGCTCTCTTCAGGTCATTGACCAGGTCCTGCCGTGTAGTTCTGGGCTGATCCCTCACCTTCCTCATGATCATTGATGCCCCACGAGGTGAGATCTTGCATGGAGCCCCAGACCGAGGGTGATTGACCGTCATCTTGAACTTCTTCCATTTTCTAATAATTGCGCCAACAGTTGTTGCCTTCTCACCAAGCTGGTTGCCTATTGTCCTGTAGCCCATCCCAGCCTTGTGCAGGTCTACAATTTTATCCCTGATGTCCTTACACAGTTCTCTGGTCTTGGCCATTGTGGAGAGGTTGGAGTTTGTTTGATTGAGTGTGTGGACAGGTGTCTTTTATACAGGTAACGAGTTCAAACAGGTGCAGTTAATACAGGTAATGTGTGGAGAACAGGAGGGCTTCTTAAAGAAAAACTAACAGGTCTGTGAGAGCCGGAATTCTTACTGACTTATTTACAATAACAGTGACTCCAAAATTACACAATACATTATTTACCATTGCTTCTATTGGGCACAACATAATCTGAAACAAACTGCAAATACATCCAACAAGTTTGATGTAGTCATTGTGTGCTAGGAATATGGGACCTATGACACCTTCAAATGGGGGGGACTAGATGTATATAGTGCATTAATTTCTAAACAGTAAAGCAGATATGTATGAAAATACCCTCAAATAAAAAGGTCACATTCTGTACTGTCGCCTCATAAAACATTTGATCTCAAATCCAAAATGCTGGAGTATAGAGCCAAATTAAACATTTCAGCTTCACTGTCCAAATAAATACGTAGGGGAGTGTACATACGGTATACAGTATAAGCACATGTATACATACTTATCTCCTTCTCCTGGCATCAATCTGTCTGAAGTAGGTGGTGATGTAGATGTTGTCAAATCGAATGTCTTGGGTATACTGCTTCGCATATCCAAACGCTCTTCACAGGAAGACAGAGAGCGAAGAGAGGCACACAAGTGCTGATTACATTAGATACTGTATAAACACTTTATAGAAATAAACTACATCATGGTACTGCAGTGAGTCTAATGCAGGGGTGCATGACTTTAGTCCTCAAGGGCTGCAGTAGGCTGGCTTTCAACCTTGACTGATTCAGACCTGGGAAACTAGAAGTATGGACTCTGGCCAATCATCGACATACTTTTAAATCAGGTGGCAAAACCCCCCCAAAAATGACACTGCCACTTTGAAGAACTAAAATAGAACATCTGACACTCCCCTACATTAGATAGCATAAATACACGTCATTCCATCATATCTAGTTGCTGTGTGGTTGAGTAGGCTCACGAGGTGAAGAAGGTACAGGAGGGAGCTGGATGAGGCCCAGAAACTGGTCCAGGATGACCTTGGTCTCCTCGAAGGCTTTACTCAGACCCTCTGTGAAATCCTCCTGTAGGGCTGAGACACCAAACACAGACTGCTGCTCCTCCTCCTACACACACACACACACACACAGGAGACGGAAAGGTGGAGCTCAGGAACTGTACATAACATCTAATTAAAGTATTGTGCAAGGTGTATCTTCAAAAGAGTAAGGCATTATACATGTATTTTGAGTTGAGAAAACCTCCAAATGACCTAATTATGTGTAAACTGCAGTCTTGTATTTCTTTCATTATTTAACTGTCTTGGTTTTAGTGAGATCAGACAGAGGAGTTGGGCTGTACCTGGAGCTCTACGTTAGTGCTGAATTCTCTGGACAGTGCGTCAATGGAGAAGTTGAGCTTGTCGAAAGTTTGCCCAAAGTTCCCTTCCACTGGGATCTCCTCCCTGCACCAGGGCTTCATGACTGACAGGAAAAGCAACCAAGCAAACATCACTGTATTCAGAAAAGTATATCATCCCACGTAACTAAAACACCTGGGCTACCAATGAAGTTGAACCCCTACCTCTCATGATGTCACAGAGGAAGTGGAATCTCATGGACACACACAGGATGTGGTTGATGACTGGGGCCTTGATGGCATCCATGCAGTCCTGCCACTTGACCTCAAACCACTCCCGACAGCGCTCTATCCCCTGCTCCACCACATCTGTTCCACAATGCAGAAAAACAGACGGTGAGTAATGTCAGTACATTCACAACGAATTATCGACCAATAACAACCAACTTCAATCTGCTGAATAGGTTTTTATTTACGCAAACCAACACTCACAGTCACATCGCATCATCGTCTTTGCTGCATACAAATCCTGGGTGCTGTTGCCGGCAGCAACAGGGCCCTGTTTCATGGAGTCATAGCCAAACTGCCCCATGATCTCATCCCTGATGCTATGAAACTTCCTGCTCACACTCTTAGCCTCCTGACCCAATAATAACATGAAGGAAACGTTGGGGCATATCCTTGAAATATCAGTCGATAATGTGAAACAAACCTATTGAACTAATACAATAGTGAACTGTATTGCATTAGTGGAACTCAGACTGCTCTCAGCGCAGGTCTTCCGGTTTTGACTAGCAGAAGTGACTTTTCGTAGCAGGTTTCGAGAACTTACGCAGCAGGTTAGGATAATTAACGTGGTAGGTTAGGATAATTAGGTTAGGAAAAGGGTTAGCCAGAATTCACATCTCGAACAAATCTCGCTAAAATCAGGCCTGCCCTGAGAACAGTCTTGGTTTCCACTAATGCTATTCTGCCAATAGTGATCCACTGACCATGATAATGTGCCACTTACCACAATACCCTGCACCACCTGCATGAAGGGCTCCATCACCACCCTCCACATGACCTTGCTGTGTTTGATCTGGAGCTCAATGTTGCAGCCCATAGAGAAGGCCACATCCTGGACATTACGGTGGATGTTGGCGATTGGGCCTGACAGGATAAGAGAACACACACACAAACGGTGATCAGAGGATTGCAGGTTTGCACCACAGCAAAGCCATACTGCTAGCAACCCATTCGGCAAGTAGCAAGGCAATACATTTTTTCAAGAACTATTTCCAGTTTACCCCTATACAGGCCATAGAGGACAAATAGCATGAGGTACGCCCTGCCACGGGAGCCGAGCATGCTGGGAAAGATCAGGAGGACCGAGCAGCGAAAGTAGGAGGAAAACGCCCCACCCAGAATAGATACAGCTGAAAAACACATACATAGAGCATGACTAATGTGTTTCCAATTTTTTACTTTACCAATTGACTCCAAACAGCGTTCAATTGCAGTACCACAATCTACTCACCAACAAAAGCATATCCTGCTAAGAACCTGTTTACAGTGGTCATTGAGACATTGTGGAAGAGCCCCACAAATAAACCTGGAGGGGAGAATTAACAAGACACGTTTTAATACAATGAATTGGCCAAATTATAAACTGAAACATTGTGAAATCTGTCAACCCTCCCTGCACTGCTGACAGCACCAAATAATGCTCCCAGGAAGAAACGAGCAACTGGGAACTCCTGTGACTGACTAAAGAGGAACCGGTGGGCAAAATCTGGCAGAACCCACCTACTGAACCTCTCCAAGGCTGTGACAAAACATACACTACACAAACGGTAAGTACATTGAAGTTGTCTATGTGTATCAAATTGATCCTCAGTGGCACAAACACCAACTCATTATCTGGAATCTACTAACTGGAATGTGGTGCTTTTTTTATTCTTAGCTCACACAATTTAACCATCGTCACTGCCATTAAATAATTAGCTGGTTTTGTAATTTTGTATCCACTCGTTTTTTACAATCTGGAAGAGGGAAAAACTCCATCTTGGTGACCTCATAATGAAACTTAATTCTGTGGAGGCCTGCTACAATAACAATGACAATTCCCTTGTGACAGACTTAGAAATAAGAAAACAAATCGTATGTCTATGGTGATAGCATAGCATACATGGTCTTCAAAGGTTCGTGCAAAGTGGCCAAGCAGCCATGGAGTTTTTGAGGGGGGTCCTCAAGCGGTAAGGAAATATATTGTACAAATTGACATTATTGAAATGCATAGGCCTTCTATATCATGTGGTCATTGGTGAGTTTAGCCTAAATATCTAACCTTTTTGACAGGGTTCCCAGATTCCCAAGGCGTCGTCCACGAAGCAAGACCAAACCTTTCCGTGATCCTCGTCTGCGTGGGCTTGTGCGGAGTTTGGGCGGGTTTTTGTTTGGCCTATTCCTTGCCTCTGTGTACGGAATGACTGCACTGTTCGTACAGAACCAAGGACTGTGGTACTGCGTGTATACCACGATCGCCATAGCTTTCCTCACAGCATTTGGCATGGGCCTCTCCATCCGCGTGCGAGCGAATGTAATGCTCATGATGCCAATGCTGTGTTCAAGTGAGTAGTCTACACCAGATTAAGATTATTGTTTTAACTATACCCCCCAAAAAATGCATATGTGCGTTGAAATGCACCCATTTACCCATTCAAATCAACACTTTGGCAACATTTAGACAGGTAGCCCAATTCGGATATTTTTTTTCCACTAATTGGTGTTTTGACTAATCAGATCTGCTGTGAAAAAATCTGATGTGATTTCTCAAAATACCAATTAGAGGGGAAAAATATCAGAATTGAGCTGCCTGTCTAAACATAACCGGGATTGCTGCAAACTGGATATATTGTTTCCCATGATGGTGTAGGAATTTGTATGAGAAGGGAAAGACCACCTTTTTGTATGAAACAGGTGGAGGTGTGTACTCGTCATAGCCTACCTGCAACCAATTAGAGCACACAAACAATTAATTCAAATGGACCAATAAGTTCACAGTTCTAAAATCACATGGTTACCGTGGTGTTATGCTACTGATGATTTGTCTTCCACAGATTGTTTGTTTACATTTCTTCCATTGTGGCTAGATGGAGTAGGCCTACACCTCCATCTAGTGGTTGCGTCGGGGACAACAATTGTTGACAACTAGCATTGTAGCTAACCCTCATCCTTTTCCTAACCTTAACCTCATCCTAACTTGTTACGTTAATTCACCTAACCTGCTGCATTAGTTCTCCTAACCTACCACTCTAATTCACCTAACCTGCCACGTTAGTTATCCTAACCTGCTATGTAAACAAACCATCTTTGGCTACAAATTATGAGTATTACCACACCGGGAATGAACCTTTGTTTGGTTGTAGTCCGCCAGAAAACCCCACAGAAGAAGAACATAGAGGCACAGGCACCTCCAACCTGTTTACATCTTCCCCGGTTTGAAAAGAAACATTTACTAAAAATAAAACACTACGTAGGCTATCTTTCTTAGAGGAGTCGTGAGCAGCTGGTGACGCCTCCACGTTTCCTAGTAGCTCACCCACTGGCTCAATCTCTTTAGGACAGTCCATTTTGAGATGCCAGAAGGGCTGGTCAATTTTCTGTCTAGTGGGTCTGTCTAACTTGTTTTTTTTTTGTGTGCAAAATGATCATGATCTGGCTTATAATGAGAGCCTCAAGGGAAAAAAAATGTCCGGTGTCGGGGCCTCGAGGAAAAAAATGGTACCGGTCCGCCTCTGAGTTGTCAAAAGCAGTGCAGAGGTGGAAGATGTCTAGGTAACTGCTGTTTGACTTGACAGGAAAATAAACTATAGTTTTTAATCCCGGTGCTGAGCTTGTGTGTAGCAGCTAATTGCTGTAGGCTATGGGTGACTAAAGCTACAGCAGCCAAGGTGATAATGGCTGGAGTCATTTTTGCTTGTTTTTGCTTAGCCAAAAGAACCCGACTAGACCTTCATTCAGGGGTTAAAGTTCTCCATCACTGCGACGGCTTTCCATCATATGGATTCTGAGAGGTCGTTTTTGAGATCAGTGTAGGTCCTCAATAACTTGAATATGGATTCATAGGGATCACTTCAATTTAATTAATTTGAATAAATTAGGGCATATACAAATTAACAGTTTAAACAGTTATTCAATGCTATTTGTGATACAGTTTGCTGATTTCCCATGGCCAGCCATCATGATTGGTTCTTGGTCCCCCCCTAGGCCACCCCAGAAAAAAATCAGAGAAACGCCCTTGGGTGGAAGGAATGGCCTACAATGCATTAGCCAGTAGGCCAACTTGTTCTGGGTATCACTAATGCAACTTTTTATGAATTTCCTCACAGTGAAGGGCAAGAACTTCCTCTTGTTCCTCATCATCTCCATGTTGGTCCAGGGCCCCATCACCAACACCCTGGAGAACTTTGACCGTGCAGCGGACAGCGTGGTGTGTGGGGCCGAACTGGCCATGAACCAGACCCAGCAGCTGATGGAGCTTGCGGCTACACCTCTTCTCTGTGAGTCCAGCTGTTCCATAAAATCACACAACACAGCTGTAGTTACACTCATTATACATGAAGTCTCAAATAGTTCACGCTAGCTTTTTTTTCTCAATGGTCACTGATCTGGAAGGACATGGCAGGTGGAGACAATATGGCAGATGACTCATTTTACAATACAATTTCTACACAATCTATCTAAGTGTTCTGCAATGTCACACACCCTTACAAGCTCCTAATGTCCACTTGTTGCAGCTGTGCTGGGCAAGATAAAAGAGATCACCAAAAATGTCCACTCTGTGGCTGGGAGGGTACAGAACTTAATCAAGGCCCTGACCGAGTCTGTCCGCCATGTAGGTACGTCTGTGGGCCATGCTTATTCTAACGCTGTCATTATTTGAAGACACTGTTAGTACAGTTACTGTATCTAACAATTTAACTCTCCAAATGAACCCTTCCATTGATTTCTATTCCCTCTGCCCCCTGTTACAGCTCGTTCCCTGAGAAACGTGTTACACTTCCTGGTCGGCATTGGCGAGGTGTGTAATGACAAACTGGGCACTCCTTATAAGAAGTGTAACAAGCTGTTTGATGATGCCCGTGATGACTGCATGGAGCTCCTGTCCGTGTTCAACTTCCTTTGTCACATTGTGGATGGGTTCCGCCCCCTCTGTGGTCTCGCTCGAGGTTGGTTGACATGTTGTTCCATCATACAGTAGAATCATTATCCTCACTCACCCTTACTTACCTCAGCTGTCAGTAGTAGAGGAAGGGTAGCTGTTTGTCATAGTGTCAGAGGGATACATTATTGTCCACAAAGAAGCAGGTTCAAATCGCAAGAGTAGAAACCTGAGAGGCTTTAGCACATATACAGCTGTATCAATAGAACAAAGGAAATGTGAAAAGGACATCAATCACTGTGGAAGGTGTCTGTTGTTTAATAAATAATAACATATATGGTAGTGTTGTAGTTAGCTTGTCATATCTGTATTGTCATTGTCGCAGTCTTAGCTTAAGTTTTCTCTTAAAGAGCCATTTTGATGTACAACTTTGTTAGGGCACCTAACCATTACATATTTTATCTGAGATGTTTGTTCTCTGTTTTTAAGTCATTCCCAGCTAGCACATTTGGTTCCTTAGAAGTTTTGGGAACGTACATTTTTGGTTTCCCATTGGTTGTGGGAACAAAGCCATAAGGTTCCTTACTGTTAACGCTGAACGTTTTCTAAACCTTCTGAGAACAGAAGTGAACATTTAGCCTGTTCTGGGAAGGTACATTTTCAGGTTGCAGGGAGGTTCTGAGAAAGTTTTCCTATGGTTCTCAGAACATTGGGTTCCCGAGTGGCGCAGTGGTCTAAGGCACTGCATCTCAGTGCTAGAGGCGTCACTAAAGACCCTTGTTCAATTCCAGGCTGTTTCACAATCCTGCTGTGATTGGGAGTCCCATAGGGTGGGGTAGGCCGTCATTGTAATTAAGAATTTGTTCTTAACTGACTTGCCTAGTTAAATAAAGAAATACATGTGCTAGCTGGGTTGTCAGTGTTTTAAAATCTTTGAAACTCAGTTAAAATGTTTCCTTTTTTCGCACCCAAGCCTGTTTTATTTTTATTTTCATAGTAATGGTGAAAAATTGCTGACTACAAATATGTTAGCTCATGGAAAAATAGATCACCCATTGTTGTGAGGTTGACATCAGTGTGGAGGTACAGCACAGCCCTCCTCTCTGGTAGCTCTGCAGTGCTCAGTGTTATTCTTTAGCTTAGGAGGCCAGGGTAACTTAGGGGCCAAGGCCTGGTTAAAACCCTGCAGCCCCACACCGCTCTCAGGTTTCCTCTCACATTCCCCAGGAGGAGCGCAGCCGTGAGTCCCTCTGCCTCCCCCCTCCATCCATCTGCCTCCCCTGTTTTCTTTTCAAATTAATTATTGTTTCATATGCGCCGCTGCTCTCGGGCCAGCCAGGACCCAGCCAGGCACTGGTGACTTTTTAATCCAAACATGACCCAAGGGCCAGAGACAGGAGGAGGAGAAAGAAAGAGAAAGAAAAGATCAAACACACTTCCTGGCCCTTGGGAGATCTAGAATGCTGCTCTCAGCATAAAGTGAATGGTGACATTTCACTTTCTTGAACTATGGGTCATAAATCCTTTATAATGCTGTTTTATAAACCTGACATGACACTTGCGTTTACTTTTAATGACCGTTCACAATGGTTTTTATGAGTCAATAAATGGAGCCTGTGATGCAGAGATGCATTTGTTACGTAAATTAGCTATAGGTCATGTCATCTGTAGGTATGAGGACAGTAATTCCCAATACATTCCTCTCATTTCAGTTGGTCAGCTGTTTTGCATCATCCCTTCTTACATTGTTGGCCACATGAAGACAAAGATTGCTGCCCGTAAGTAAAGTGCAGAGGTACAAAATAATAGTTTGTACTACTTCTCTTTTCAAAGGTAGAACATTCTTCAATACCATAATTCTACTGTAACTCCTTTTTGATGGCCACACTAAACAGTCACAAATGCACAGTGGCACATTCTTGAAGTGCATGTCTCCTTGCTCTCCTCTAGCAACCATAGCAGCTTTCGAGAAGATGAAGAAGGAGTTTGAGTTCAACATATCGGCCTCTATGCACTTTGACATGAATGTGAACAGCAGTCAGTCGCTGCAGCAGGTGTCACAGGATATGATGGAGGAAGTGTCGGTGGAGCTGGGACGTTTCCAGGAAGTGATGGGGCTGCTAGCCTACATAGGCCTCTTCCTTCTGCTGCTTATGTACCTACAGTGAGTCTATATTCATTCACATGGGTCACGCAAACAAGGTTTGACAAGGAGCGGTATACTCTATACCAGGGTTTCCCAAACTCAGTGCTAGGGAAAAAAACAAAACGTGCACCGATTTTGGGAAACTCTGCTCTATACTGTGTGTGTGTTTTTAAAGGGCTGTCCTGTACAAACACAAGTACCTGCACCAGGATGACTTTGACAACACTTACATCACAGAGCAGTTTGAGGAGCTGGACCAGAGATTGGCTCGAGAGGGAAAACCCCCTGTCCTACCGCTCAGCCAGAGAGAGGCCCGCACCTACATCAGACCATGTGAGTGGAGCAGGAAGAGAGGGAATGCACAGGAAAGAGGAGAAGAAAAGATAAATGGATTGTAGGGGGGAAGCAGTGTGGGTGTTGAGAGAAAAGGTAGGGAGTGAAAGGATATAGAAAAATTAGAAAATGAGAGAGAACAAAAATAAAAATAAAACGTCTAGAAAGGTGAAAAGAGAAAGTCAGTGTTATGTCATGTCATGGCAGTGAAAACACCCACCTAACCTCCCCTCCCCCACACCCGTCTCTGTCCTCTAGTCTCAGTGTACCTGACGGCCAGGGAGCGGCGGACGGCTGCCCTCAGCGCAGTGTCCATCCTCAGACACATAGCCATGGGATGCCTGGTGGTGGCGCTGGACCTGGTGGTCTTCTGGATGTTTGACCTGGTGCACCACCAAGCCCAGGGGGACATTGTGGCTAGAGGTGACATTGAGTCAGGCTACAGGAAAATAGATTATGTTCGGTTCAAGGTTATTTACTGTAATAAATACATTGGAAATATTACTAGCCACCCTACCCATCAGTGTACTCACAGGTGCATGGTTAAAAACAGGAATAGACGAGAGGTATAATGTCTGCATTCATAATTGCTTCCAAAAAGTATATTTACCTGAATGAAACCAGAAACACTGCAAACAAACCGAGTCTCAAAACATGTTTGTACAGCAATTTTGTTTGTACACATTTTGTTTGGGCTGCTATTTTGGACTTAGTTATTTTAGACATAATTAACAGTTTATGTTATGAGAGTAAGTGGTTGTTCGGTGTGATGAGTAACCTTGCCTGAAACCTGAAGAGTTGTCCTGAACATCAGTTTACTCCATTCTATTCAGTACAAAGGAATTAAACTGGACATCAGTTTCCAATTAAATACTACAGTACAGATTATTCTAATTAAATTGTATATCAAACTATATTTGGAACAAACAACATCATCCAAGACATTGTGTTCTCTCTTTGTGCTCTCTCTAGCACCCATCGTAGTGGCTGTGGAAGTAAACGGCACAGGCTATGCCTCTGACATCTTCAAGGACATAGTGGCTTCCTTTGACATTCTGCAGAAGGGCAACATCACTGTTCTCAGCAAGAAGTGTCTGATGGAGCCTTCAGAGCCAGACCACTCAGGATACATGCTCATAGGTAACACCTAGACTAGTAGTATTTAGTATTTATTAGGATCCACAGTTGCTGCCAAGGCAGCAGCTACTTTTCCTGGGGTCCAAACAGGAATAAAACAATTACATCAAAACAAAACAAAACAACAGCCTACATTATAAATACAATAATACTTCATACAAGACATTATTACATTATTACTCTTATTACAAATGTACAATATAACATTCACAATACTACATTAAGTAAGGGATAATCAACGAGGGGTATATGTGTTCTATGGAAAATCATGAACGACGTGGAAGGTGTGTTCCACCAAGCGCTAGTGGAGTGGAACTGACCTTCCATGGAGTTGCATTATTTTCCAGAGAACGCATAGAGCCCCGAGTTGATTATCCCTTTCATACCATGGCTATAATTTAACACATTTGGCACTGGAAATGTGTTCATTTGTTTGTAGAAATGTGTTCAACATCCATTAAAGTAGCTAGCAAGTTTACTAGATAGCTACAGTAGTGTCCATGGTAACCAAACAAACAGACTTGCTAGTTTAACTAACCAAACCATCAGTCCTAGCTTGCTATTATGAAAATCAAATTCAACAATACCAATACTGTGTTCAATTCGACTTTTGCTTTAAAAAACAAACAAAACGTAAAAATGAACTATAGTCATTGAATTCTACCTTGCGAATATACCGTGCCCTTAAAGGCAATCAGAAAGGAATGGCATGGTATAATATAATATTACATTACAATGTTTGTGTGTTAGAGAGTGTGTGTGTGTGTCTTTTCACAGTCCGTGTTGTGCTGTGAGGTGTTGTTTTATCTGGGGTTTTTTTATCTGATTTTACTGCTCGCTTGAGTTACTTGATGTAGAAGAGAGTTCCATGTAATCATGGCTCTATTTAGTACTGTGCGTTTCCCAGAGTCTGTTCTAGACTTGGGGACTCTGAAGAGACCCCTTGTGGCATGTCTTGTGGGGTATGTATGGGTGTCTGATCTGTGTGTTAGCTGTTTGAACAGATGGCTCGGTGCTTTCAACACGTCAATACCTCTCACAAAGACCGGTAGTGATGCAGTCAATCTCTCCTCTACTTTGAGCCAGGAGAGATTGACATGAATGTTATTGATATTAACCCTCTGTGTACATTTAAGGGCCAGCCGTGCTGCTCTGTTCTGGGACTGTAATTTGCCTATGTCGCCTCCCGAGTGGCGCAGTGGTCTAAGGCACTGCATCGCAGTGCTAGCTGTGCCACTAGAGATCCTGGTTCGAATCCCGGCCGCAACCGGGAGACCAATGGGGCGGCGCACAATTGGCCCAGCGTCGTCCAGGGTAGGGGAGGGAATGGCCGGCAGGGATGTAGCTCAGTTGGTAGAGCATGGCGTTTGCAACGCCAGGGTTGTGGGTTCGATTCCCACGGGGGGCCAGTATAAAAAATTAAATAAAAAAAGAATAATGTGCTGCAGCGACTAACTGTAAGTCGCTCTGGATAAGAGCGTCTGCTAAATGACGTAAATGTAGTGGCACTTGACCATATAACTGGGCAGTAGTCCAGGTGTGATAAAACTAGGGCCTGTAGGACTTGTTTTGTTGATAATGATGTCAGAAATCAGAGCAGCGCTTTGTTATGGACAGACCTCTCCCCATCTAAGCTACCGTTGCATCAATATGTTTTGACCATTTCAGTTTACAATCTAGGGTTACACCAAGCAATTTAGTCTCCTCAACTTGCTCAATTGTTCATTACAAGATTTAGATTAGGTTTAGGGTTTAGCACAGGGGTTGCCAAACTTCTTTGGCCCACGACCCCATTTTGATATCTGAAAATTCTCGCGACCCCACCCATGTGAAAATAATTATGTCATTAACAGCCAATGTTAACTTTTTATTTGGGGCTAGGGCAGTCAAATGAAAAACATTCTAACAGTATTTCTGATTGTCTTCTCAACTCACCATCACATACTTTTAATGTGGGGCAGTCAATTGCAAATTAATCTGACATAATGTCTCTTATCTCACCACTAATGAGATGGGTGTGCTTGATGCATGTCGCATCGGAGCTTCTCAAAGTCAGGGGGCGTGGTCGACCTGGATCGATATTTGGTTTTAATGCAGACGAGAGCACTGAATCCAGCTTCACACAGATATGAACTGGCGAAGGGTAGCCTACCATGAGTTTTATGGTGCTTTCAAGACAACTGGGAACTCTGAAAAATATGAGTTCAAATCATGACGTTCAGGGG